ATTCTCAGGGTGGAAGCTTTTTTAGACCCTGTATCTGTAAATCAGATAAAGGATTTGTAATTCGCATCTCCTGGATCCTCATTTCTAGGAAAACATCTTACCTTCTTAAACTGGAAAATTAGCAAAAGTTGAGAATCATTTGTCCTGGTGGGTGGTTGATAGCTTCAGAAGTGAAGTCAAAAACCATATTGCCGTTTGGGTAAAACTTCATTCCAAAAATTGCTTCAACCCCCCCCGCCCCCCCCCTTTTTATATATCTAATTTTGAAAAGCCACTGGAAAACAGGAACTTCTTTTTTAAATAAGAACGCATAGCAGCACACCTTGATGTTCAATTCTTGGTGGTTAATTAAAAATGGTTAATTAAAATCAATTAAGCATCTGTTTAAAAACGGTTAATCAAATGGTTAATTAATGGAGAATCATGCCTAAAGGACTGCTGCTTTTAGACAATGTGATCTACAAAAAAAAAATCTTGCCCAGCTATAGCATTATATAAATTAAATTAATATGCAGTCCTTTTGAAATATTTTTCCCCTCGGTAGTCATCCTTTCAAGGGAACGCAGCATTTAAAAAGTTCCATTTTCTGCCTTTGTAAAACTTTCTTTTTCAAGATCAGAAATGTGTTTTTTAATTTTCCTTTCATTACATAAGAGAAACACAATTATCTATGTACCTGTTTGCATGTTCTGAAACATCATTCCACACATGAGAAACAGGTATCGAAAGCTTTTTCCCTTAATTAATAATCCACAATTAGCATCAGAGGCCGAAAATAAAAACCACCCAATTGAGAAGAGAAAACTACAACTCTTTTAACATTATTTAAAGCTGTTTTTATTTTTCCCCTTTGGATGTTAAAAATAGCAAACTTTTCAGTAGTTAGCAGGGTTGAATAAATACATAAGCATTCCTTCAAGGTCCACGGCATAACTTATTAAAACCCTTGTACCGGTCGGCTGATTTGAAATATTGTTTTATGGCATGTTCGATTACCGGAAAGAGAGTTATAAAAAAGAGAAAATAAATAATTTTAAAAAGTGAATGGTTGATGCATAAGAAACAAGCCTTACCCCGATCTTGAATATTGGTTGGACTTTATTCTGCAGTTAAATTTCAATAGCAAATGGGTTTAAGCCCTTACAGAGATGAATAGTATTCGGCTACTCACTTAATACTCATAGACTGGGCGTTTCTTATCTAAGATCTGCTGACTGTTTTTGAAAGTTTGAAGAGTTTTCCCTGGTCGGGCTTCTGTGTCATCTTTACTGAAATGCAGATTGGTCTGTAAAAGATGACTCGGTTGGCCAGGCAAGGCAATGGGGAGACTCATACCAGAAGGATGATGAGTTCTTAATTTTTAGGGAGGGAAGGGTGTCTATCAGGTGAGAGATTTTCGTAATGCGATATCACTCTTCTTTTTTATGATCTTTCTGCCGTTTTTGAAACGATCCTGTCGAAGAAAACCTGTGCTATAAATATTTGGGGATGGGTCTCTAATTTTCTCAGCAAGGATCACTTGCTATTCGCTATATTATCACGTTTTATTTTTTCAGGGTTAGGGTTTTTCAAGGATAAATTGGAGGCCAGGTTTTGGGATGGATACATATACCATGTTAGGACACATTCGTGGTCTTAAAATTTTCCAGTCAAGTAAAAGAACTGAATTTTGGAAGCCAGAAAGATGCTTTTTAATCTGCATATCTTCTTAAAAGAGTGAGGATATCATACTTATCGAAATGAACAAAACCGATTTCTTCCCCATCCAAAAAATCTAAATCTCCAAGAAAGCCTAACCTTGGTTATGTTTTTTTTTAAAAAAAAAAAACAGTAGTCCTTAAATTACAACCTCAATTCAGCCCAAAATTTATGTTGTGAAGCGAGACATTTGTTAAGTTGAATTCTGCCCATTTTGCGGCCTTCCCTTGCCAGAGTTGTTAAGTGAATCACTGCCTTTGCTAGTAACACGGATGTTAAATGACTCTGGTGGCTTTGGCTTTGCATGTCAGAAGGCCGCAAAAGGGGAATCATATGACCCAGGGACACCGCAACCGTCATAATATGAACCAGTTGCCAAGCATCCGAATTTTGATCACGTGACCACAGGGATGCTGTGACGGTCGTGTGAAAAACTGGTCCTTAGTCACTTTTTTCAATGCCAATGTAACTTCGAACGGTCACTAAATGAACTGTTGTAAATTGAGGACTACTTGTATAAGAAATAATTGCAAAATTGTTCAGGCTTGTTCACTCTTTTGGTTTTCTGTTGATTTAGTGCGCACATGCGCTGTTCAGACCTCGATGCACGTTGGACAAAAGAATGTTGTGAATTTATTTATTATGCTGCTCATCTTAGTGTCCAAAGCGAATCACAAAGGAAGCCATAATCTAATTTCATGGAGAACATTTTTTTAATACTTTGTCCACTTGTGAGAAGACGAGTGGTTGGAAATTGTTTCCCTGCCCTACAAATCCCCCTTTTAGGCTTTCGGCAGTCCCCACCCCCCAAAGTGCTACATTTGGGGCAGGGGGACCCAATGGGGACCCCCCCCCCCGAGATTCGGGGGATCGAGTTGGAGTCAGCCAGGCCTTCCCGAGTGCAATTGCTGTGTCCGAGCAAGGAATCAGATTTCTGAGATCCCAATTTTTGGTTTTCACTGGCGTTATTGCCTCTTCCAAATGTGTTGGATGACAGGTTTAAAGGCCAAGATTCTTCGTAAAATCAATCACCTTTCTTTCTTTCTTTCTTTCTTTCTTTCTTTCTTTCTTTCTTTCTTTCTTTCTTTCTCTTTCCTTCTTTCCTTCTTTCCTTCTTTCCTTTGTTTCTCTCTTTCTCTTTCTTTATTTCTTTCCTTTCTTCTCTTTGTTTCTCTTTCCTTCTCTTTTTCTCTCCGTCTCTTTCTTTTTCTCTTTCTTCCTTTCTATCTCTTATGTTCTTTCTTTTTCTTTCTTTTTTCTCTCTATCTCTTTCTTTCTTTCTCTCTCTCTCTCTTATGTTCTTTCTTTCCCCTTTCTTTCTTCCTTCCTTCCTTCCTTTCTTTCTATTTCTTATGTTTCCTTCCTTCCTTTCTTTCTTTCCTTTTTTCTTTCTTTCTCCCTCTCTCTCTCCCTCCTTTTTTCTCACTTTTTCCCTTTCTTCATCCCCAGCCAGTCCACAAAAGACCATCATTGGTGGCTTCTTCCATCTCTGACCTCCCCCTCCCCCATTTTTCTCCAGCACCTTAAAGTCCATGCTGTGGAGGGACCCTTTTCTTCGCTTTACGGGAGGGGGTCACAGACCCAGAATGATACCTGCTTTGGCCTGATCCTGGCTTGGGCGTGGCAGGGAGCTGAATACGCTAGTAGAGGAAAACGCCCCCCCCCCCCCCCCCACTCATCATCCTTCCAGAGGGTGTCAGGGATCACTTGTGGGGGTGGGGGTGGGGGGCTTCCAAAGTGGATTCATGCTTTTCCTTAGCTCCGGAAAAAAGGCAGCAGCTCTCGGCCTGACTTCTCCCCCAAGCCCACCCCTCTCATTTGTGCCAAACCAGCATTTCTTTCTGTCTTAAGGAAACATTGTAATCAGCACCCAGTTCCTCTGCAGCCTTAGCCAGCCAGGAAACACTGCAGCACAATTCAGAAGCCAAGATTCTTTGTTACTCAATCAACCTTTCTCTTTCTTTTTTTCTTTTTTTTCTTTTTTTCTTTCTTTCTTTCTTTTTCTTTCTTTCTCTGTCTCTTTCTTTCTTCCTATCTGTCTCTTTCTCTTTCTTTTTCTTTTTCTTTTATTCTTCCTTCCTTCCTTTCTCTCTCTCTTTCTCTTTCTTTCTCTTCCTTTCTCTCTTTCTTTTATTCTTCCTTCCTTTCTCTCTTTCTGTCTCTCTTTCTCTCTATCTGTCTCTTTCTCTTTCTCTCTCTTTCTTTCTCTTTTATTCTTCCTTCCTTTCTCTCTGTCTCTTTTTCTTTCTTTCTTTCTCTTTTAGTCTTTCTCTCTTTCTATCTCTCTTTCTTTTCCTCTCTCTTTTATTCCTTCCTTCCTTTCTCTCTCTTTCTGTCTCTTTCTCTTTCTTTTATTCTTCCTTCCTTTCTCTCTCTCTCTCTTTCTATCTCAGTCTCTTTCTCTTTCTTTTAGTTTCTTTTTCCTTTCTCTTTCTCTTTTTCCTTTTTTCTCACTTTCTCTCTCTGTCTCTATCTCTTTCTCTTTTTTCTTTCTTCTTTCTCTTTCTTTCTCATTTTTTTTATCGCTTTCTTCCTTTTCTTTTTCTTTTTCTTTTTTTTCATTGCCTGACTTTTGATGGGAGGTACCTTTCTTGCAGCTGGGGAATGCATTCTTTCCGGGATAAGGCCCTGGGGGCATGGGGTGTTGTGGGGAGGGAGGGATGACGCAGGAGTTGTCCTAATAAGGACTTGGTTTGGGCCAGTCCCGCCTCCTTTGGACTGGTCACCAGAGGGAGGCGGGCAGTTTCTGTTTTAAACGGGGCGACTGACACCAGCCAAGTCATTTCCTTGCTGATCGGTTCAAACCAGTTCTTACAGGAACCCTGCCTGGGTGATAAATGATGGGGACTTTTCTGAAGTCACCCAATGCCAACCGGCACCAGCCTGGCCCAGGGGGCTGCCCCACATCAGGAAGTTCCAGCCTGCAGCTTCAGACTTTTCCTCTCTGCGCCCAGCTGGGTTTTTTAAGCTCAACTTGCCAAAGCAATTTTTTTCCTCCATCTTTTTTGACTTTCTTTTCTTGGCTTGTTTTCTTTCTTCTTTTTTTTTTTTATTTTCCCCCTTAATTTTATTTTTGACACCAGCTGGAAGAGACCCCCGCCCCTGCTCTTTTCTGTCTTCCGAGCCATTCCCTTCCCTTCGGCAAGGGCTGATGTTTCTCCCTTTTTAGCTTTCATTGGGTAAGTTCCCTCTCCAATCATGTTTCTCTCTCTTTTTCCTCCCCTCCTTCTCTTCCTCGTCTCCCCCTTCCCCAAATGTCTGCCCTCGCTCGCAAATTGGGTGGCCTTCCGACTCATCCATAGCTCCGTGCCCGGCATCGGGGCATCACTGCAAAAACCTTTTCAAGAACATTTGGAAGCTCAGCGGATCAAGCTGCACAGCAGAGCCAACGAGACCCCACAGGTAAGAAATCTCACCTTGTTTCCTTTTCTAAATGCCTTATGGGTCACAATTTTCTCCCGTCCCCCTTTTTTGCTGGCATTAAGGAAAATAGCAAAAAAAAAAAAACTCTGAATAGGAAGCAACTAGCTAAAGCGGGTTTAAGAAATGACTGCATCGAGAATATTGTGAATAAAAATTGAGACATCGCTAGATAAAATAATCCGTAATTTCAATCCCGGGAAGATTCTTTAGCCATGTATTAGTTTGTCTGAAGAGTCTTTCCGTATTTCTTCCTTCCTGGCCCGTCCCACCTTAATTCATTTCTGAAAGCTCTGGCCTTCGAGAGGAAAAGCGAACCGGTCTTCGAGAACTACAGAAAAGTGTGGTTTTCATTCTTACTTTTTCTGTTCGCTGCTCACTGCCGCCCTCCCCCGTCTCGAAGGGAAACCTTGGAGTTGATAAGCTTTCCTCCCAAATCTCTCCCATTTTTATTCCCCCTTCGGATGACCGACGCTAACTCTCCGAGTCCAATTTTATTAAATTGGTGCCTGAGGGGATGGGGCAGAACGGCAGGCTGTCCTCAAACTGGGACTTTCACCCAAGAGGGAATAAAAACCATGTCAGTTTTTCAGCAACTCCTGTCATCTAGAATAGAATAATGGAAGGGACCTTGGAGGTCTTCTAGTCCAACCCCCTAGTCAGGCAGGAAACCCTATATCAGGGGTCTCCAACCTTGGCAACTTTAAGACTTGTGGACTTCAACTCCCAGAGTTCCTCAGCCAGCAAAGCTGGGAGTCGAAGTCCACAAGTCTTAAAGTTGCCAAGGTTGGAGACCCCTGCCCTATAGCATTTCAGACAAATGGCTGTCCAGTCTCTTCTTAAAATCCTCCAATGTTGGAGCATTCACAACTTCTGGTGGCAAGTTGTTCCACTGGTTAATTGTTCTTACTGTCAGGAAATTTCTCCTTAGTTCTAAGTTGCTTCTCTCCTTGATTAGTTGCCACCCGTTGCTTCTTGTCCTGCCCTCAGGTGCTTTGGAGAATAGCTTGACCCCCTCTTCTTTGTAGCAACCCCTCAAATATTGGAAGACTACTATCATGTCACACACACACCAGTCCTTCTTATGCAGACTTAGTCATTGATCAATTATAGAAGCAGTTTTACAGACTCGTTCTCCTTAGGAGTGCTCCACTTAAAAGCATCTGAGCTGCCGGGAGCCCCACTGCCAGCTTAAACTGTCTGGATGAATTATTCAGTCTTGTGTGTGTGAGACACTTTCTGATAACTCCCACGTTATTCTTGAGAAACTGAGTAGGCCAGAGCAACTTCCTGGAAGGATGCTGACCCACATATTACTCATCTTCCCACGAAAGGCCACTTAATTCTTTCCAGTAATAGAACTGGTCACCGGTCAGCTGCCTCCTGAGTTGCCTGTTATTGCTAAAAAGTTCTACCACCCAACCAAGCCTTGTAACGGGAGTTTCTATTGAACCCGGAATCTTCTGCGTGGCTCCGGGAGGAAACATGGACTCAGCCACCCCGAAGAGCTTCGCAACCTTGCTTTGCTGCCCAACAAACCTAGGTTAGAAAGTGGTAGAAGCCGTCTGCCTCCCATCAGCCTACAACTCAAGATAGTCCTTGACTTACAACAGCTAATTTAGTGACCGTTCAAAGCTACCACGGCACTGAGAAGCGTGACTTAAGACCATTTTTCACCCCGTGGCCAGGTGATCCAAATTCAGACGCTTGGCAAGTGACTCATATTTATGACGGTTGCAATGTCCCGTGATCCCCTTTTGTGACCTTCCGACAAGCAAAGTCAATGGGGGAAGACGGATTCGCTTAACAACCATGCCACTTATTTCACCACGGCAGTGATTCGCTTAACAACTGTGGCAAGAAAGTTGGTGGGGAAGCCAAATTCACTTAACAACCGTGCCACTTATTTCACCACTGCAGCGATTCAGCGATTTCACTGCAGCGAAAGTTCGTAAAATGGGACAAAATTCACTCCATAAAACGTCTTGCATAGCGACAGAAATGTTGGGCTCAATTGTGGTCGTAAGTCGAGGACGACCCATATTTTTGTAGCACGCATGACCCTAATATTCTTTTCTCTCTCTCTCTCTCTCTCTTCCTTCCTCTTGTCCTCTTTTTCTGCAGGGTGAAAACTGGCTCTCCTGGACGTTTGAGAAATTGGTTATAATTATGGTGTGCTATTTTGTCTTGTCCATTATTAACTCCATGGCCCAAAGTTACGACAAGCGTCTCCAGCAACGCACGAACTCCGAGAGGAAAGCGAAATGAGCTGGATCAGGAGAGGGAGGGATGGATGGATTTCCCCCCCCAACTTCCACTGGAATAACCAGCCTTGCATTTAATAATAATCATCATCATCATTTGCAAAGGAGGGACAGGGTTATGAAGGGGTGGGGGGGCGGGTAAGGGTGGTCTCTTTGGTTTAATTAACTCTCCCATTAGTCATGGTTCCCACGGGCCACCATCTCTACGTTAAAGGTAACGGATGCACCCTTGTTTCAATGTAAATTAATTAATTTGTTTTAACATAGGTGCTTTCCTCCCCTTCCAAATTCACTCCATGGCTGGGTTAGGGTTGGGGTGGGGTTTTTTCCCCCTCCCCTCTTGCTTTCCCCCCCCCCCTCATTTTTAAAGAAAAGATCCCGGCCTTCCAGAACTTTTTAGGGCTACTGTCCATCCATGACATTTAAAGTTCAGGTGTCTCCCCGATGGGTGCAAACCATCTTCATCTATAACCTGACTGATCTTAAGATTTACTAGCAGCGGGCGTGACCCTTCTGACGAACATCTGGAAATTCCCCCATGTCCGTGTTCACGGAAAGGGTGGGGAGAGCTCTTCATTTTTCTTTTTCCTTGGGCCTGTTTAGAAGGGCATTAAATCAACACCCTCTCAGATCATTCCAGACTTCCCCGTTTGGGTCTTTTAAAACTGTCCTCAGTTCTTCCCCTTTTTTTTTTTTTTTTGTGTGTCTGTGTGTTCCGGTTAAATCCTCCCCTCCCCTCCCTATTTTTTATTTTAGTTCCTTTGCACAATCTTTCAACAACCCTCACCCCGTTGTGGACGAATGCTTGCTCTGATCCTTTGAGAGTTCTCGCTTCTTGGATTTTCCCCCCGAGAACTCTTTGCTCAGATCAAGGAACTAGACAGGGTGGGATTTTTTTTTTTTAATTTCTTTTTCGACGCTGTTCAGCTATTTTTATTTATTTAACTGACCCGGTAGCCCCGATACCTGGAGTTATCCTTGTGTTGGATTTTACAAAAAATGGTTAACTCTCGCAGTGTTTCCAGAGCGCTGTGAAATGCCACCAGGAAGTTGGTTTGTAAGGTGCAGGAAAGGTTAACTGGAATAAACAACATGCAAAGATAGCTTCACGGTGCCTCTTTTTGTTAAAAAGTGGGTGGGGGGGGAGGAGGAGGAAAGGCTTTGGTTATAAAACAGTTCCTTTGCTTCGTTTTGAGTGCTTGCACCTCAGGAAGTTTGGAGAGGACGGCCTGCATCTAAAGGACCACCAATTCAAAGGAGGACACTTCCTGTGTTCCTGAAAAGGAGGTGATCTTCATTTCCAAAGATGGTTGGGCCTGTTTGGGTATCTGGGTTCCTGATGCATGGAGAAAGATTCCTGGCAGGGTGATGTGGGGCGACGCCTCCTTTTTATCGGCGTCGTAACTTTCCCCTCCTGTCTTTAAGACAAGTCACCTGCTCTAACGTGTAGAACATGTGAAGAACCTCTTGTTTGCTGAAGAACATCTTCAGAGGTTTGGCGGGACAGAAATGGACCTGACGGTAGTGCCTGGTAGAAGTTCCATTTTTCTTTCTAAGGGGGTTCTTAGCTTTGGCTCATCAGAAGTCAGTTGATTTTTGCTCTCACCCAATTCTATTTTACGTTGCCTTATGCGTGGTCATCAGACCAGTTGGGTTTCTGGCAGATTGTCCCCTGTTTTGTTCAAGCGAGTAGTATGTCTCCCATCTTCTCCCACTTGTGTGCCCCTCCCCCACCCTCCCATCTGCCTTCCTGTCTAGCATTGTGACACCTCCTTGGCGCGTACCTTTCTGTCGGATAGCTTATCAGACTGATGTTGACTGTTGGATGTCATGGCAACAACAGTCGGTAGGCTGTCTGACATTTTGGTATCTTTCATCTCGACTGTGTCCATCCATCCATCCATCCATCCATCATCTCCAACCTGTTTGTCCAGCCTGCGGGGGCTGCCTTGACATTTTTTTTTAAAAAAAGAAGTGGACATCCTTGGATATCTCAAACCCTCGTGTGCCCTTCGGGTTGGACGTCTTGAGATACATTGGGAGCTATGTCACTCGAGGTCTTTTCGGCAGGTATGTTTCCAGAGGGCGAAAGACGGTGGGGATGGAATAAGATGTCCTCAGACACGGTTGAGCAGGAAAAAAAGGACGTCCAGTAATATTTAGGGGCTGGAGGAGACATTTGTCAGTAAATTAAATCCAGATTCCTTCAAACTTCTCTCAGCTATGCAAAATGGTGCTTGGGACCTTCTCACTTCCTCTATCTACCCTTTGCAAGATTTCCTGAGCAATGCATGGTCTTCCAGAGGAAACCATAGAAAAGGGAAAAAAAGAGTTTCACAGCATTTCATAGTCATCCATCTTGGCTTGAGAATTCAGGCAGGTTTGAGAAGGAAAGCAGTTTTTCTGCACCGGAAGGATTTTCATGCAAGTCAGCTCTACACTCTAGTACAGGGGTCTCCAACCTTGGCAACTTTAAGCCTGGCGGACTTCAACTCCTAGAATTCCTGGCTGGGGAATTCTGGGAGTTGAAGTCCGCCTGGCTTAAAGTCACCAAGGTTGGAGACCCCAGGTCTAGTAAACCCCTGGAAGAATTTCAGTCCTCCAGCTTTTGATCTGGCCTTCCCATAGAACAGTGTTTCTCAACCTTGGCAGCTTGAAGATGGGTGGACTTCAACTCCCAGAATTCCCCAGCCAGCCAGGGAAGAATTCTGGGAGTTGAAGTCCACCCTCTTCAGTTTGAGACTACATTACCGTAAGCTCTTCAGCCTACAAACCCACAATATCAGTACAGGTAGTCCTCATCTTACAACCACAATTGAGCCCAAAACTCCCCATTGCTAAGCGAGACAGTTGTTAAGTGAGTTTGGCCCCCATTTGATGACCTTTCTCATCACCGTTGTTAAATGAATCGCTGCCGCTGTTAAATTAGTCACCACGGTTGTTAAATGAATCCGGCTTCCCTGTTGACTTTGGCTTTTTAGAAGGTCGCAAAAGGGGATCACAGGACCTCAAGACACGGCAACCGTCATAAATATGAGACAGTTTGCCAAGTGTCTAAATTTTGATCACAGGGGATGGGGATACTACAGTGGTTGTGTCATAAATCCTTTTGTTCAGTGCCATTGTAACGTCCAGTGGTCACTAAATGAATGGTTGTAAGTTGAGGACTAACCTGTATATGTTAAAAGTAGCCATGGATCTTCTGTGTTTCCTACTCAGCCAAAACCCAACAGTCTTTTGAAGAATTGTGCATACACAATTGTAAAAAATAGGATGTAAAAGTAGGAAACAACACTTGAATCCACGGTATAAGTACATGTCATACTCCCCAAATTTAAAACTTCTTCCATTCTCAAGTTTGCTCACTCTTTCTTTAATCTGCCTGGATTGCCTTGAGCCGTCAGTTTCTGACATATTTTCATTTTTTTGTTAAATGCCGAAGTATCTGTGGCCTATAAAAGATTTTTCATTAAAGGCCAAGTAGCAGAATACTTAACCGAATAGACACTGGAAGTTCGGAAATGGTTTGCATTTTCTTCCAGACTGCTTATTAATTGCTGAAAGTAAATGTTTACCACCCTGATTTATGGTCCTGGAAATGCCATGCTGGCTGTGGATGATGGAGATTGTGGAGAGCAGAGGGTGTTGGGTAAGAATTGTACAGCACAAGCCAATACCATCTTGGAACAAAACCACATGAAGCTGTGGCTGAAGGGAAGAGGAATAACTAATAATTTTTATTATTTATTATTTATTATCCATCTTCGTTTTCCCAATTTTATCAACCTGCACCCCCATACTTTAAAAAGTACAGAAGTGATGATTTAGAGTACCGCCGTCTTTAAAAAACAATTCACTTTAATCAACCTTGGAACAATTCGATGTTTGTGGGTAGCTAAATCTGTATTTATAGAAATAGTTTTCCCTGTGAGTGTTGGGGTTTTACTGCTTTTCTATGCTGGTCGATGTGCCTCTTTCCAATTAAATGAGCCAGAATACACGGGATGAAGAAGTAGAATGCTTCTGGGTGACTCAGCAAAAATGTAGAGGATCTGTAGAACTTTATCATCATGCAAATAAAAAATGCCTTTGCTGGTGGATCAAATAAAACGAAATAAATTGCACATTTGTGGTAACGAAGTAACTTATTTCCAAAGTATTCTGATTCCGTCTTAAGAATTTCTCTCTCTCTCTCTGAGTCTTCTGTTCGGTCATTCACGCTACTCTATGTATCGGTTTTTTGCAGTTATCTCATTTTTAAGGGCTCACTTCTGTAAATTACAGTGATTAGCACACAGATAAAAGAACACAGAGTGCTACTGGTGAAAAAAAAATAAATCATTAAAACAAGAGTTCATTGACACCGCCCTCTAAGCCAGCCCTGTACTGTAGGGCAAAAAAGGGCAAAGTCAATTTTAGGCTGCCAACGATGGAAAGATGGTTTCCAGATCGCCAGAAGTTCTTTATCCAATTTATTTTCCTTGAATGAGTCCTCGGCAAACTTGGAAGGGCAATAAAAAACCATGATAATTGGGGTTTTTTTCCCCTTGTTCCAATGACAAATTGTGGTCTTCACCTACAAGGAAGCAGATTCTGATAGATTTCTGAGGGGAAAAAATGTTCTGGGACAAAGAATGATTTGACAGAACATAGAATCCTAGGGCCTGGAAGGGACCCTGGAGGTCTTCTAGTCTAACCCCCCTTTTCAGGGCAGGATACATTACATCATCTCTTTTTGAAAACCTCCAGTGATAGAGCAGCCACAATTTTTGGAGGGAAAACTGTCCCACTGATTAATGGTTCCCATTGTTGGCCACTATTGCAAAATTGTTCTCACTGTCCAGAAATTTCTTCTTAATTCTGGGTTGGTTCTCATTTTGATAAGCTTCCACCCTTCTTGTCCTACCCTCTGGTGCTTTGGGGCAGGGGTCTCCAACCTTGGCAACTTTTAAGACTTGTGGACTTCAACTCCCCTGAGGAACTCTGGGAGTTGAAGTCCACAAGTCTTAAAAGTTGCCAAGGTTGGAGACCCCTGCTTTGGAGAAGAGCTTGACCCCCCTCTTCTCTCTGACAGCCCCTCAAATACCAGAATAGTAGAATCAGGGACCCCGAGAAGGGCCAAGTTATCCTCCTCTGGAAGTCTCCCAAGCAGAGACTGAGTGGACCCTGTATTTGGACATTTCTGCCCTGAGCAGGGTTAGTCTGGACGACCTCAAGGCCTCTTCCAACTTCAGAACTCCTTGTTACTCGACTTAGAAACGAACCAGTCCTCTGTGACTGGTTGTAAAAAAGGCTTTTACAAATCTCAGTCCCGACTTCCAGGAAACCAAGCAAAAGAAATGGCAACGAGAAACTGGACAAAAAGCAGTTGCTTACGAAGAGACCTGAAAGGGTTTCATTTTTAATACGTTTTTGAAACTCGCCCAACGCGCATCGGAAGCCACTTCTGCAATTTTCAAATTTCCCCTTACGCAAGCAACCAACTTTCATGCTCGGACCAGAAGTAGCTGACCTCTGGGCTTAATGGTTAGAGACTTGCGGGGGTGGGGAACCTGAGTTTATTTCTCTGCTGACTTGAGAATGCCTAGGTGGGTGGAACGGAGAGCCAGCTTGGTCCAGTGATGGAGGCACCATGCAAAAACCAGGAGATTGTGAGTTCTAGTCTTGCCTTAGGATAGTTAGGATAGGATTAGGATTCTTAGGATAGAATAGTCAAGCTCTTCTCCAAAGCACCTGAGGGCAGGACAAGAAGCAACAGGTGGAAACTAATCAAGGAGAGAAGCAACTTGGAACTAAGGAGAAATTTCCTGACAGGACAATTCATCAGCGGAACAACTTGCCTCCAGAAGTTGTAAATGCTCCAACACTGGAAGTTTTTAAGAAGAGGTTGGATACCCTTTTACTTGCTCTTCTTCCAATTCAATACTGAGCAAAAAGTTATAAATTTTTTAAATTATTTTATCCTCTGTTCCCATGAGTATCCTATCGAGATCTGTCATTTCTAAATAGAAACCATATAATTTTGCACCTTTTTCATATCTTGTTTGTATTTGCATATACATATACCAATCCATCACAATCCCTTGTTCTATCAATTCTTGTTTCCCTTTCAATTCCCCTTTGTCCATAAGTAAAGCTTTATATCTAAAAATATTTTTTAAATTAACCACATTTGGGTGTATTAGTGCTTCCATTATTGATAACCGTGTTGGAATTTTCACATAATATTTATCTCTGATCTTCTCCCATACTGATAATAATGCATTTCTTACACAATGTCTATGGAAATACATATGTATCTTACTTCTACCATACCATAAAAAAGCATGCCATCCCAGTTTTAAATCATGCCCTTCCAAAGTTAATAGTCTTCTATTTCTTAATTCTACCCATTCTTTCATCCAACTCAGTGTTGCTGCCTGATAGTATAATTCCCAGTTCGGCAGTCCAAATCCTCCCCTTCTTCTTACATCTTGTAAGGATGTTGGATACCCATTTGTCTGAAGTGGTGTAGGGTTTCCTGCCTAAGCAGGGGGTTGGACTAGAAGACCTCCAAGGTCCCTTCCAACTCTGTTGTTCTGTTTTTAGGATTGAAAGCAGGTTTGGTGAACCTGGGCCAATCATCAGGAGATTTAAGTTCTAGTCCCACCTTAGTCATGAAAGCTGACTGGGTGACCTTGGACCAATCATTGTCTCTCAACAATGTTGGGTTGTTGTGGGGGAAATAGGTGTCTTAGGAGGTGTGTTCACCACCTTGAGTTTTTAATAAAAACTAATGAAGGGGAGGGGTTAAAAAAAAAACCTGAATATTGATGCCACCTCGGCAAACATTCAGAGCTTCCTGTTTGGCATCGCGCCCCATGGATTCTACAGAAAGGTGTTTTGTACTTTGCGATAACACCCGATCGTCAGTGTTGGTTGGAGCAGGAGAAAGGAATGGAGGAAATGGCTGCAAATAATCCTCAAGAACAATAAAGGCAGGACTGGGAAATCCATCGAAGAAGGTAAAAGTCCAACCTGGCTGAGTTTTATTACTTCCTTGCACGTATGCAGGAATCTTCCATCCTTTTGTCCTAGTAAGAACATCGGGAGATGTTGGAATGGGAATATTCTTCATTCGCCAAGTGTGATTGGTCGCACGTTGTCCAACCACAATTGGTCAAATTGCACCTCGTGACCACGTTCTGGGTCCTCTCACAAAATAGTTTTTTTTTTTTGTTGGTTTGAACCCTTCACCAAACAGATGACAATAAGCCAACAACACAAAATAGAGTCTAGATCAGGGGTCTCCAACCTAAACGCTTAAAAGAGCCATTTGGACTCTTTCCCACAGAAAAGAAAACACCGGGAGCCACAAAACCCTTCCCGTGCTTGACTATTTTTTGAGCGGCCACAAAACTAGCAGATGTAGTTGAATTAAACGTTCTGTTTTCTTCTGAAACTTCTTTTCTTGTATTTATCCATGGTTGGCCTACCGGGGGTTGAAAAGCTCAATAAATCGGGTCCCGGCAGGTGTCGCACATTGGCGGTTGTGACGCATATTTTGAGTCGCAGCAGAGGGGTGAAAGAGCCACATGTGGCTCCAGAGCCACAGGTTGCTGACCCCTGATCTAAATTCACTAAAACGTCCCCTGCTACCTCTTTTCCTCTTTAACACCTTCCCTCCTTCCCACTTACTTCTCCTTTTTCCTACATTTTATTTTATTTTTTTGGTGGTGTAGGGGGTGTCCCACTTGAAAAGAAAGCACAACATTTTGCTTTCCAAGAAAAGTTTGAAGAAAGTTCAGAGTACAGGTAGTCCTCGACTTTACAGCAATTTGTTTAGGAGCCGAAGTTACAACAGCACCGAAAAAAGGGACTTACGGCCATTTTTCACACTTAACGACCGTTGCAGCCTCCCCATGGTCACGTGTTCAAAATTCAGACTTGTCGTCAACCGACTCATGACAGTTGCAGTGTCCCAAGGTCATGTGATCCGCTTTTACGACCTGACCAGGAAAATCAATGGGGAAGCCCAATTCACTTTAACAACCAAATTCAGTAACGGAGCTACTAACTTTGCAACTGCTGTGATTCGTTTAATGACTGTGGCAAGGAAAGTCATAACGGGTCAAAACTCATTTAACCAGTGTCTCACTTAGCCACGGAAACCGGGCTCAGTTGTGGTCATAAATTGAGGATTATCTGTCGTTAAAATATCAGGCTCGAAACCTATCAGATAATTTGCATCTCCAAGGATCTCGAGTTTGGGGCAGAATCTGCAGTTCTCCCAAATGTGCTACCATGCGAAGTTACATCGGAGAAGAAACAAATCTAATTTTCTTCCTTGTTTGCTACATGAATATGCAAGCGAAGAGAAAGTGCCTAGAATGGAAGCAGATGGTTAACAACTTGGGAAAAAACTGAAATTGCGTTAATTTTCATTACTGATAATAGCAATAGCACTTAGACTTATATACTGCTTCACAGTCCTCTCTAAGCAGTTTACAAAGCCAGCCTCTTGCCCCCAACAATCTGGGTCCTCATTTTACCCACCTCGGAAGGATGGAAGGCTGAGTCAACTGCACCAGTGAGAATCGAACTGCCAAATTGCAGGCAGCCGGCAGTCTGCAGAAGTAGCCTGCAGTACTTCATTCTAACCACTGCGCCTCTAATCCTTGACTTACAAATTAATTGAGCCCACAATTTCCGTTGCTAAGCAAGAACAGTTAAAGTGAGTTGGGCTCCATTTTACAGTCTCTCTTTTTTTTTGCCACCATTGTTAAGCGAATCAGAGCCTGGATAGCTCTGCAGACTAAAAGTACTGTAATTTAACACCAGCTGTCTGCAATTACTGTAAGTTCGAATCTCGCCAGGCTCAAGGTTGACTCAGCCTTCCATCCTTTCTAAGGTAGGTAAATTGAGGACCCAGTTTGTGGGGGCAATAAGCTGACTTTGTATAAATATACAAAAGTATGAAGGCTATTGCTTAGCACATTGTAAGCCACCCTGAGTCTCTGTAGAAGGGCGGCATATAAATCAAATTTTTTTTAAAAAAAGAATCCACTGCCATTGTTAAGCGAATCAACTGCCGTTGTTAAGTGAATCATACGGTCGCCAAGCAAATCGACTTCCTCCATTGACT